CAGGCAAATTTCATAATTAGCGTTGCATGGTCTTCGGCGGCTACTGTATGTTATGGCCCTCATAACCGGCCAAATTTTGTGATAATAATGTAACATTTTTCTCACAGCGTGGACCTAATGCAGTTTTGGGACCCTAAATGCAAGTATAGGGGGTTCAAGCTTATTTAGCAATTGAAAACCGAAATATACCCTTTCTTTAAGTAAAAAAAAATTGAAGCTGGCCCTGGTTTGCTACCAAATCAGCGCGAGAAAGGATATTCTCATGCATGTTTTCTACAGAATATGCTTGAATATAAAAGGGCACCAATAACCAAGCTTGAAGCGTCATATTACTCAAGTAGTACTTTTTTTGAAGAGTCTATTTTTTGCAGTTGGTCTCTTGGGATTAGGCTTCAAGATAAGAAATATGAGAATCACACAGGAGGAAATAAGTTTCAATTGCCAGAGGCATTTCAGAATTGCGGTTGAAATTCCATGAAATATGAAATACAGTGGAGCCCCGTTGATGAACAACAGCACCCACGAGCATTTCAGGTAATGAGCGAGCAACTCGCAAGTGACGAACTTCCGCTTAGTCCACGAATTATCAGTGCGTGCCTGTTTCTGTAGTCATCATTGAGTCTTGCTCCCAGGGTGTAGGCTCTCGGTCGCCTGCAACCAATCACTGACGTGAAGCAGTTTGATTGGCTACGTTTCGCAAGACGAGCGTTTCAAATGACGAGCTCGATACTAGAACTGAGTAAACACGCTAGCCGAGGTTCCTCGGGGAGGGGGGGGGTTGTCACTACCGGCAGAAGCCGAGTTGAATTTCAACTAACCGGGTTCCCGTAAACCCCAAATCGCCTTCTCTCCTTCTGTATATATCCACTTGCATGTTGGCCTTTTCCTTAACGCAGTTTCCTCGCCTTATACCCCGCTCCCTGCAGAAGACCCCTACATTCCCAGTTACATGGATCCGTCCAATGGACCGGAGCCCTGCGTCGTCTGCGGTGACAACGCCACCGGTTTCCACTACCGTGCCATGACCTGCGAGGGCTGCAAGGGCTTCTTTCGGCGGTCAGTGCAGAAGAAGCTGGAGTACACCTGCAAATTCAACGGCCGCTGTTCGGTGGCGGACAAGCAGAACCGCAACAGCTGCCAGAAATGTCGCTTCGACCGGTGTATCAAGGGTGGCATGGCCAGAGACTGTGAGTTTTCAGCTCCCTTCCCCCTCCTGCATACCTCTTGTCTCTTAGCTTAATACGATAAAGAGGTACACGCATGATAAACGCTCGACATGATTTATATATAAACATGTATATGCAGAAGGACATTACCAGCAAAGACATGGGACACTAGGAAGGCCTCTTCTGCCTCATTAAGCGTCATCGGCTAGTGATACCCAACCCCAGTGTGGCCGCTGAAATAGCTGCCACAGCGACATTTGAACTCGCGATCTCTCCGGCCAGGGCGAACGTCCTAACCGTTGACATACGAGCTCACGGTCTTGCTGGTATTAGATCGGGGGATATACATATACATACAGTATTGCAAGTCCTGCAAGCAACTTGCCTAAGTTTGTAAATGTTTGATTATTTCTCCCATACCAGCAAGAAAGCATTTACGAAAACTTATGAATAATAATCAGCAGCATTAGGCATATTAAGTGCTTAAAAGAGTTATAAGAAGTACTAAGTGTTTGTTAAGAAAAGTAAAATTTTCTCGATAATTTCCAGGTTGTGGAGACGTCAAAAATAGCTATAAATCAGAACAATAAATTCAAATATTTTGTTAAGTATAAAACTTACAGCAACCACTTTCTTTATATAAAAAGAACTTGCCTTTAGTCGAAATATTTTGTATATATGGTAATGAGTTGATAACTAGTTATTGAATATTGTGGAATAAAGTCTCTCTTCATTTCACTCGTTTTCGGTGTCTTCATTGATAAGTTGATTAATTGCGCTTCTGTTCGACGTTTACATCAAAACCTTTGAAATAAGATATAAGTAAACAGCATTTACCGAAAAAACGAGCTTTTGGATATT